AGCCTCAGCCAAGCTGTCTCCATCCACCCCACCCCCCCCGACCCTAGCCGGCCTTCCCACCGCCCCCCTGAACATGCCGGTCCCCATGCTTCTGTACATAGTGCTTTGCTCACGAGACGTTCCCCCGTTTGGCAAATCTGCGACCAGAGACGAGATGCTGATCTCAAAGGCCAAAAAGCAGCTTCTCTTACTGTAATAACTTTGAAACGACTGCTTGAAACCGAGTCTTTCGATGATGCCCAAAGCCAGATTCCGCGACCTGCGGCCAGCTGGGGGTGAAATCTCTTTCATTTGGGTTATTTATTTATGTGAGTGCAGATCCGAAAACCAACAGCTTTTTAAACGTCGTTTTGCCAGAACGGCTATACCGTCACTACCTTATCAGAGGAGGGGTAGAAATTGCTGGCATTGCCCCCCCCCCCCCCAGCCCCGCGCCCCTGCCAGCACACAAATGCTACTGTAATCCTGCACGAGGCCGCTTGACTTTTAAACAGCGCAACAGCCTGCCAGGATTTCAGCTTTGCTCTGCAATCACAAAGGCGCGAGATCGTAAGGCAGAACGGGGCAGAGAGTGGGGGGAGGGGGGGCAGGAAAGGACAAATCACCTCAAGGTCTGAGCGCTTTCCTTGAGAGTAAGTCCATGTACTCACACACTTATCATCAAATTGAAATCATATACAGAACAGGAGCTAGGGGGGCACTGCTATTAGGGCTACAACCCAAACCGGCCCCTTACACACACACACATACACACACACACACATACACACACATACACACACACACACACACACACACACAGACATACACACACACACATACACACACACACACACTAACACACACACAGACATACACACACATACACACATATACACACATATACATACAGACATACACACACACACACATACACACATATACATACAGACATACACACACACACACACACACTAACACACACACAGACATACACACACATACACACTAACACACACACACACTCGCGCACACACACACTCGCACACACTTGCACACACACGCACAGGTTTGTAATTAGCCGTTTTCCAGGACAGCACGTGCAAAGTGGGGTCAGGGTCCGTAATACCAGGCACGGGACTTGGGGCAGGGGACCGGGCATCACAGGGCACACGCACATACACACGCACACAGATTATGTATTTAAATCTTTGTGGGGACTCTCCATTCATTTCAATGGGGAAAACTCTAATCCCAACATGACGACCTTAACCCCTACCCACCCACCCACACACACACAAGTGATGACTCCTGATGACACAGCATCCCAATTGTTCAGCTTGAGTGCCATGTAATCACTTTCCAAGCCAACGTTTTGTCTCGTTGCTCTGGCTCCTTGTTCTGCACTTTGAAGTGCCGCTTTCATCCCTAAACTCTCCTGGTGTCCGCGGTCCCCTGTCTGCCTCTCCGGACGTTCACACGCGCCCTAGTCGACACTTTTGGCCGCCAGTTTAACGTGTGCTTGTTTTTGGCACTGTGAAGGTGCCTCCTTTACGCTTCACCTTGTACGCCACGACTCCGCTGTAGGTTTTGCACCCGCCACAGAGCTGGTCGATGATCCCGTCAGGACCAGACAGGCTCCTCCTGTCCCACGGCCCACGAGCTGCTCCCGTTACGTGTGAGATATCCAACCGTGACTTTTTTCATTCTAATTCAGTTTGGCACATCACATTAAACTTCACGGTTACTAATTAGCAGGTGCTTTAGTCCAAATCGACATACACGGAAAAGTTAATGCACCTGTCACACAATGGGGAGTGTTTCCAGCTGACAATGACCAAACCACCACTCCGTTTCTTGGATGTGCGAAATCTGAGCCGCAGGGTGAGAACCGACCTGGAGTATGCCGGCGTTTCGGCTGGGTCATTCGAGATTTAGACCGCGCAGAACCCTTGGTCTTTGTGAAAACGCTTTGCGTTAGCTGATAGCAAGGCTGCTGATTCGTGGTGGGAAGTGAAAGTTAGCAGTGGAGGAAAGGTGGAGTTTTGGGAGAGAAGGGAGGGACGGGGAGGAGGATGGAGGAGGAGCTAATGGGACTGGGGGGCTCCCGTTTGGGGTGCGAAGGCTATGCTCGCACAGTGTATGGAAACGAGCTCTGAGATAATTGCCCTTTGCAGCTATAATCTGGAGAGGCCTCCTCCGTGGCCAGCAACGCGTCTCCTCTGGCTCCAGGAGGTCGCGCGCCTCCACCAGCAGAGATAGCGTGCGACTGTGAGGCACCGGACACCGAGGGCAGAACCTCCGCGCCGTGACCGTGGCGCCCATAGGAGCCCTGCCAGGGACGCTTGGCTCAAAACGACGACACTGTCACTGGAGGAGGTGGGGGGGGGGG